ATTCATAAGCCATTGGATTTCATTATTGCCGCTCTCAGTTTCCCCATGATCCTTTGATATGTTGACATCAATGTAATTTGACTAATTTTATATAATTTCTACACATTTCATTTGATCTATGTTTTTCCATGACTGAAATGCTTGCTTCGAGTATTTAATTTACCATGAGCTGTAACCAAATACATTTTCAGTGTATTTATAATTTAACACAGATGTGTAGCTACCATTAAAGACAAGATGATATAATGAGAGCCTGGTAGAAGTATATTGGCTTTTATTCCAGAAACAGCATAAAATACAGATAACTAATGTATAAAGTAGCCAGTCCGATCATTTCTTAGAGACACCTAAAATTATTATGCTGGGAATAGTCTGAGGTTCTGATTAACAACTCAGCTGGACAGTTAAATATTTGCTTTGTGGATTTGAAAAGACACTGCAGGTTTAAATCAAGTCAGGTTACACATATGTAGGCAGTTAATCATCCTGTTGTTAGGATATCTCATTTGTCCCATCCTTCTCCCCGTTACATTAGGGTCTTCCCACCCTGTCCCAATCTTGTATTAACTTTGGTTAACCCTGCTCCTTCCTCAGTCTTTTCTTAAAAGCTTCAAATTGTCAAATTGTAATTGTAAAAGTTCAACTACAATTTGAGTTGTTAAAAAGGTCAACTAAATGTCATTGGCCAGTCTCTTAAAATGATTTTACATTCTGAGCGAAATCTTTTGTATAAAGTATCACTTATCTGACAGGATCTCCCTGAATAATGCACTTTTCAGTTCATTTTGAATAGTGGTGAGCATTGCTTGGCATAAAACAAATACTTTGACATTCAAGTGATGACAAAATGCTCAACACTGTGCAACTCACCAATTAAGTAGAACAGGCACTGATTTATTCACAATGCCTTCGACTGCATTAGCTGAAAGATCAATGCCTCATGAGAAAGCTGATTTCAGGAAAGCTTATGGCGGTTTTAGTGGGTTCTTTTTAGGAAATAGCAAACATTGGAATTACCCAACTAAAGTTTACATGCTTGTAAATCAATTGTTGAGTCTATTCAGAACTTTTTTCCCTGTGAAAACGTGTCATAAAACAGAAACATGAGTCAAAAATTAGTTAATTCACATTCACCAAAGTAAAGAACCAGCAGATAATGTGAGTTTTCAATAGAATATTCATGTGTGGAATCAATAAAGTGAACATAAAACATACAATCCTTTAAGGCAAATACACTCAACAGGAAAAATGACTGAGCCATGATGAACAAGGGAAGTTAAAGACAGATTAGATAAAAGGACATGGCTTATAAAGTTGCCAGAAAATGTTGCAAGCTTGAGGAAAGGGAGAATTTTAGAACTTAGCATAGGAGGACCAAGAAATTAACAAAGAGTGAGAGAATAGAATATTCATGCAAAATAGCAAGAAACATTAAAAACGGGACAAGCTTCTATAGGTATGTAAAGGACTAGACAAGCAAATACAAATGTGGACTATTACAGGCAGAGACAGGAGGATTTTTGATAGGAAATGAAGAAATGGCAGAGAAGCTAAATAAATATGTTGTATGTATGTCTTCTACTTTGTGTCTGTCATAATAGAAGAAGAGGCGAGAGGTTTTCACAAAATAATTAAGTTCTACTGAGAGTGTGGAACTGAAATAAATTTGTATTAGTAAGAAAAATGATATTTCAGAAATGAATTGGAATGAATGTTAACAATTTATCATGATCTGATGACCTTGATTCTAGAGTGCTGAAAGGGATGGCTACAGAGGAAACAAATGCCTTGGTGATATCTTTCAAAATTCTATAAACTCAAAAATTGTGGCCACTGATTGAAAGGTTCCAAATATAACCCAACTGTTTAAGAAAGAGTTGGAAAGAGAAAACAGAAATGTACAGACCTGTTAGCTAAGATGGAAAACACTAGAGTCTTTTATAAAGAATGTGATTACTAGATATTTAGAAAATAATTGTCTGATTGCAGACAGTCAATATGACTGTTTGGAGGGGATATCATGTTAACAAACCTGATCAAGTTCATTGAGGATGTCATGAGCAGAATCAATATGGGGAAACCAGTGGATCTGGTGTATTTGGATTTGCAGAAGGCTTTTAATAAAGTCTCACACAGAAAGTTACTAAGCAAAAGTAAGGGGCACAGGATTAATGGTAATAAATTAGCATGGATTGAGGATTGGTTAACAGGCAGAAATCAGAATAGGAATAAATGGGTCATTCTCAAGTTGACAGGCTATGATCAATGGATAACACAAGAGTCAATGTTTGGGCCCCAGCTGTTCACCATCTTAATAATGACTTGAATCTGAGGGACAAATGTATTATGTCCAAGTTTGAAAATGTTACAAAACTTGTGGCAAATGTGATTTGTGAGGAGGATACAAAAAGGCTTAAAATAAAAACAGCAAGTCCTGGAGAGTCTTGGCACATCCACTATGACTATTCCTCAAAACTGAAAGGGGTTGGAAAATGTGGTTTTAATGCTACTGACAGAGAGGAAGGATGAGAGAATGGAACAAATAATGAGTCAAAGGGAGTACCAATAGTATTCAAGAAAGTATTGAGATGTAAAATAAGTGTAAACGACAGATGTGAAAAGGTGAAAATGCTTCTGTTCCGGTCAGAGCAAAGTCAATATGACACTAAAACAACACCTAGGCAGAGGTAGAGTGAATGGGTTGCAATCAAAATGGAGTACAGAGGTCTTGCTTTGAAGTTGTTCCACTCAATGTTGGGTTCTAAATGCCATAAAGTACACAAGCAGAAAATGAAATGCTGCTCTTCCAGCTTAAATTGACCTTCATTAGAACAGGTCCAGGGTGGAAATGTTAGCATGTAAGCAAGTTGGTTTGTTGAAATGGCAAGGTGCTGAAAGGTTGGGGCCATTCTTATGGACAGAATGAAGGTTACCACCAAAGTAGTTACCCAGTCTGCCTCTGGTGTCGTCAATGTAAAGGGGCTAGCATTGTGAACAGTGAATACAGTAGATTAGATCAAAAGAATCATAAAATCATAGAATCATAAAATCATAAAATCTGTACAGTGTGGAAACAGGCCATTCAGCCCAATGGGTCCACACTGACTCTCTGAACACACCCAGGCCCACCCCCTTACCTAAGCCTGTAACCTTACCAATCCCAGTAACCCTGCATTCCCATGGCTAAACCACCTAGCCTGCACTGTGGGTAATTTAGCATAGCCAATCCACCTAACAAGTACAAGTAAAATTTTGTTTTTTTTTCTATTCATTTCATGGGATGTGGGCATCGCTGGCTGGCCAGCATTTCTTGCCCATCCCTAATTGCCCTTGAGAAGGTGGTGGTGGGCTGCCTTCTTGAACTGCTGCCTTCCACCTGCTGTGGGTTGACCCACAATGCTATTAGGGAGGGAATTCCAGGATTTTGACCCAGAGACAGTGAAGGAACAGTGGTATATTTCCAAGTCCAGATGGTGAGTGACTTGGAAAGGAACTAGGAGGTGGTGGTGTTCCCATATGTCTGCTGTCCTCGTCCTTCTAGATGGAAGTGTTCGTGGGTTTGGAAGGTGCTGTCTGAGGATCTTTGGTGAATTTCTGCAGTGCACCTTGTAGATAGTACACACTGCTGCTACTGAGCGTCGATGGTGGAGGGAGTGGATGCTTGTGGGTGTAATGCCAATCAAGTGGGCTGCTTAGTCCTGTATGGTGTCAAGCTTCTTGAGTGTTGTTGGGGCTGCACTCATCCAGGCAAGTGGGGAATATTCCATCACACTCCTGATTTGTGCCTTGTAGATGGTGGACAGGCTTTGGGGAGTCAGGAGGTGAGTTGCTCGCCGCAGTATTCCCAGCTTCTGGCCTGCTCTTGTAGCCACTGTGTTAATGTGGTGAGTCCAGTTGAGTTTCTGGTCAATGGTAACCCCCAGGATGTTGATAGTGCGGGATTCAGTGATGGTAACAGCATTGAATGTCAAGGGGCGGTGGTTAGATTGTCTTTTATTAATGATGGTCATTGCCTGGCATTTGTGTGGTGCGAATGTCAACTAGTAGTTGTGTTTAGGGCCTTGGGCAATGAGAAGGGAGGAGGTGAAAGGGCAAGTGAACACTGTTCACAATTGCATGGGAAGGTTCCAGTTGGGAGGAGTGGCTGTGGCAGGAGTTGGATTGTTAGGAGTGATGTAGGAGTTGGCCAGGGTGGGCTTCCTTCTCACAGTCACTTCTATCCCTGCCTCCTTCACTAATCCACTTTCTTCTGTCTTTGGGAGAGCTTGCCTCAGTGCAGCTCCCCAAATCTCACAGAAGAACATCCAAGTAAAAATCTATGTGAACTGGGGTGCGGCATTTCCTTATTTCCTCTCAATTCTTGCGATCACTGCAACATTGAAAAACAACATGATGCTATTCACTTTCCTTGATTGTCAGGGTACCTGAGGTGGGATACTGTGGTTCTGGGATAGTCCCTTGACAGAGCCCATTCCTTCAACACTGAGGTTTCTGACTTACAAATGGTCTCACCATTTTGACAGGGACTGAGCACAGCAAATTGCCCCTATTAACTCTATACCTTTCTTCACAGGTGCTACCTGATCTGCTAAGTATTTCCTGGTTATGTGTTTTATTTCCTTTTACTAGCATATTCAGCATTTTGATTGTGTAATAGTGATTATAACTGGTTGACTTTAATTCATTTTGTTATATTAACTGAATCCACAATAATGTTTAAGAGTTTACTTAAGGCTGGTTATGAATGGAGAAGAGGGAGTAGCACCTTTGCAGTTTGTATGACATATTCAATCAGGTTGCAAGATTAGATGCACCACTGTAATAAAACTAGTAACCCAGTTACAAAACTTCCTTTGATGATTAGTTGATCTATTAGTTAGAATCACTAATGGACTCTCTGTAGTGTGAACTAGAAGGTTTGACTCTGTAAGGAGCCAAAGTAAATAAAAATTGACAGAAGTAGACAGAAAGAAGTATCTTGAAAATAAATGTAATCTTACTTGCAAGTGACTGAGAGTGTTTCATTTACTTCAATGATCAGTTGCTTGTCAGAAATATTCAGTTCTGGCACAATCAGATTGTCTTGAGGAACTGAACCTGAATATAAAAAAAAAGCAAAGAAAGACTTTGGTTATATATCAGCTACGGTGTAGTTCAAAGAAGACAAACTCCATTGAAGCACTGTTTAACAAGGTCATGAGAAGTTAATGTCGACACTGTCAGTGGTGATTGAGGTTCATACGTTTCGTTGGTACAGTCAGGTCACTGTTCCTGCTGATACTTTACATTGATCATCCATAGAAGCAGGCAAAATAAACTCTGCATGACTGGTTTTGAATAGCCCGAAACCAGCATAAAACTAGCAGTCACAAAGCACAATCAAGTAGATAAAACAACGAAAATTCTAAACAACCACCTTAGAGTTGAGACAGAAGCATCAACCCTGTAAAGCCCTCTTCATTATCCCCTCTCTCTCCACTATCCTTCAATGGTATTGCTTGTAAATATATATTTTTTTCAGCTATGTGATTAAACTGTGATCTGCGCTGTGAATTCCGGGCCATTATTAATATCCTTCTGTGAAGTATCATCAGTTGGCACGCTTCAGACATGGAGCACTGGTTAGTTTTGTTTTAGTTGAACAGGAAATGTTTCATCATGTGATCCACCATTTATGATATATGTCTGTAAACATATGGAATTTATTAGACAGGGAGAAAGTGAACACAGTCCTGCCAGTTTCATGCCTGACAAAATGGGCACCTACCTGCAGTTAGCAATTATGGGGCAACTTCAGTTGCTCCTCTGACACCTATTTTTCAGGGACCACAAATGCAAGAGCGGCCTATAGGCCTGAAACAAACCTAAGATAGTGTAAACATGCAAATCTGAACCTCAAGAGCAAAATTCATATATAAATGGATAGAACATGCATGTTCTAACTCAAAGTACCAAGTATCTGGCACAACTAACTGTTAATGCTTACAGTAATCACAGGATGTTGCTCAAAAGAATGGCCCTGGAAATTTTGAGAAATACTACTTCTGGACTCAAAAAAACAATTTTGTCCCATCATAGACATGCAAAGGGATCTGTCCTTGGGATCATTTCCTTCCGTAAAGGCATGAATTTTAGTTTATTCATCTGTAGCATAAAAGTCTTTCATCATTATCTACATAAATAATTTCAGTCTTTACAAAACCTAGATACACAAAATGCGTTGTTCAAAAATAAGTCCTCTTATGTTACAAGCTGTAGTGACTACAGGTCTAGAAGGCATCTTTTCAAGTTGTGTTGAAAAATGTGGCCTAAGGCATGTTACCTTTCTGCTTAGATGCAAGAAGCATGGCTAGTTTCTCTTGCATACTGCTATTTGTTTAACCGTTTAACAAATATTTCTCATTGGCATTAATTAGCTTCTACCTTTGATGTACAAGTGCATTTAAATTTAAGTGTGCATGAAGCAGCAAATATGCATTTAACCCATGCTTATCATTATTACTTAGATTTTAGAACCAAAAAGTAGGAATTGCAGCTGATGATATCAGCAAATTAATGCTGAACACATTGGTGACACTCTTATCATCTAATTCGTTGTGAACTTTAGTCCAATCATATTAAACGAGTTAATCTGTCTATTGAAATAATGGACGGAGGGATGTCATTATAAAAAAGTGGTAAATGACCAGGCACCAATATGACAAATACCAATGTCTGGCTTCAGGTATGACTTCAATAAATGAAGTGACTAATAAGTGACTATCAATAAATGAAACCTTTTTAAAAAATATCATGGAGTAGAAAAAATCCAGAATATAACATTTGAGTTTATTTGAATAGCGTCAAATTAAAGCTGGGAAGAATATTGATTTAGGCATTTGGATAACACTTTACTCTTTGAATCCTGTCAATTGAGCTTTGACATCCATTTGAGACCCCAGCAGCAGCAGACTATAATACCTCACACAATAATTTAACTTTTTAACGTGGGTGTCACCGCAGCTCAGTGGTTAGCCCTGCTGCCTCACAGTGCCAGGGACCTGGGTTTGATTCCACTCTCGGGCAACTGTCTGTGTAGAGTTTGCACAAAATGTCCCTGTGCCTGCGTGGGTTTCCTCCGGGTGCTCTGGTTTCCTCCCACAGTCCAAAGATGAGCAGGTTAGTTGGATTGGCCATGCTAAATTGCCTGTAGTGTTCAGGGATGTGTAGATTAGGTGGGGAAGACGGGGACGGGTCTGGGTGGGTTGCTTTGAGGGTCAGTGTGGACTTGCTGGGCCGAAGGGCCTGTTTCCACACTGTAGGGACTTGATGATACCACCTTAGTGCAACATACATCCGTTCTACAACACAATGCCAGTTAAGATTATGTACTCAGAAGATGGAGCAGGGCCTGATCTCCAATCTTTCTGAACCACAATGCAAAGTGTTTCCAACTGAGTTATTTTTCATTATTGAATTTGCAAGCTGTTGAATACAGGCCAAGAAGAAACTGTGCTGTTATAAGTTTGATGTATTCAATTTTAATCACTTTGTTGTAATTTTCTGTTGGCTTAAGAGTAGATTCAGGTTTGAGATAGGGAGGCATCGTCAACATATTACTGCAAGTATTGCAACGTGCACACACTTTCTTGCTCTTGTCACCATTTCGTATTATGACATGATTTACCATTGTAAATTGTTCTGTCAAATGCCACAAAGTGGTTGGTGGTTCTGGCATTACATGCTCTTGTGAAGTGAGATTGTGAAGTTTCTTCCTCCCGAGTTGTTTGCCATCTTATTTACCACAAAGACCTACATTCATCAAATCATAGAATCATATATTTCATAGAATCATAGAAATGGCCTTGGCAATTTGAAATATGATTTAAAAAATTGCACTTTGTATTCTGATAAAATCAGCTCTTGACACTCTTCAAGTGTCTGCATCTTACTTTCAAGACAGGATATGAATGTGAGTAGCTGGATGCAAAGATATGCAATATATTGCCATAACCAGATGGCAAAATCAATGAATACATTTACTTATCATTTCCTTTGAAAAGGTTTGGTAACAAGTTTTTAAATGCAGTTATATGGAAGATAAAAATGAATTGTTCACCGTTGCACCAATCACCTTTACAAGATGGAAGGCTGCTATGTACAGACGCTACATGTGAGAAATTATACACCTAGAAGATTAATGAAGAGCCTGTGTTTGACAAAATGAACTTTAGGTCATAGAGCACAAAAAACAGCACCCATCCCTTTAATTGTTTTGTGGCAGGCCTGAACAGAAATGACAACATTATATAAAATAGCTGTAACTTCATCTCTTACACATCTATCCTTTCTGTGTCCTTTCATTACTGTTTGAAGTGCTTGGAATGCACTTTAAGCAACATTTCAAGCGAATGTCAAGCTTTGATGAACAAACACTATGCAGATAAAGCGTAACCTATAATCAAGGCCTTAGGTCTTAAACACCTCTCAAGACAAGGATTGAGGAGAAAATCTAACCTTTCAAAGCAGAAGCAGAAAATGCTTTTTTTTGCACAGATCTTGAATGCAATTTTTATTCATTAAAAATCATGCTATTACTCAATATACAAATTTGTATTGTGCTTGAATTGTTTATATTTCATGTAATTTTAGCCATCACAAATCTTTTCTAAAGGCAGTGTCAATTTAACTCGATCACTAAGGTAGTTATGAAGTGAATGTAGAGAAATGGCTTTACATAGAATATTGTTGGAGCATTGTTAAAACAGTGGTTAAAACAGGAACTATTGGATATTTTAAAAGGAAAATTAGATAGAAATTTGAAAGCCAAGAGATCTACAAAGTCAGGTGGATAAAACAGGGTGACAGGATCAGTTTTGAATAAGTCAAAAGAAGAAATGGCTCTGTGATACAAATGTTTTAAAGTTAATATTTGCTAGTTGCTTTAAAGTTAATATTCTATTCACATTTGAAGAAACTAGTCCTACTTCACTGGAGCTCTTCAATTTTTATCATTTTTTAAAGATCTGTAATAAAGGATGACATTTCAAATAGGCAAATATCAAGCATAATAAGTGGTGTTCAACTAATCATTGAGAAGCTGATAAGATTTAGGAGAGATAACATTGACATTCAGTGAGCATGGAGCAGCAACTTAATGCTGCACATGAACGTCTGAGAGTAAGATAATGAGCCCAAAGCCTAGTACCTGCAGTTGTTTCTGTGTCATTACTCATCATATGTTGATTCAGCTGAAACCATGTGGAATCAAAATAAACCTTTGAATGCAAAATGGCAAGTTGCTTTTATTTTCCATTGCATAATTTGCTAATTAATCTGACAGAAATCCTTCATTTGAAAGTACTTCATTAATATTGTTAGCTGATTAATTTTAAAGTTAATCAAATTCTTTCCTCTAGCTTTCTTCTTTTGTCAAATTGTATGCATAACCTTGGTTAAATCTTATCAAATATTAGGATACTATTTGGAATAATGAAATTAATGAATATTTGAGTTGACCAAATTATTTCAACTTCCTTTAGTTTCAGTGGAACCACAACGTTTGTTTTTATAAAGATTTTCAGGGGGAAGAGGAGAGCAAATTTCTGCATGGAAACTAGAATTCTTTCTCATCTGTCTTGTGTATTACAGATAGAGAATAATAGTCCTGCTGCTCTGCAATCTGAACTCATCATCTTAGATATTATAAGCATGTATTATGATAATTAAATATTGTTTTCAATCTGAATATAAAACTTCACTAAACAGCACTCATTTGTCTCATTGCTGTATGTGGCAAGTAGAGGAAGGCAAGTTGGGCGATCAGTATTTTAGTAGATTTAGAGTTTTGAGAAGATGAATTGGATTTCATTGGCACAATGAATCTAAAGGAAAATGAAAGCAAATAAGGGAGGAATTGAACAAAGGCATGGGTTCAATGCTATGATTCGGGTGGGGTGGGGGGGAAGGTCGAGGGCTGGTGGTGGTGACTTGGCTTGATAGACCAGGGAAAGAGAGGAAAGCAGCACTTGATGCAGAGTAAAGGTTTCACAGCTCTGTTAACTTCAGAATGGTACCAACTAGTACTGTGAGGTTTTTCCTTTTTTCACCTCATAATG